CGCTCTCTTAAGAGGGAGCACACTTTTTCTCCGTGAACTTCCATTTTCTATGTAATTGGATAATTTCACGTGTTAGACATCGTGCTTTAATCCTTTCATAGAACATAATTAAATGTTTTGAACGATTGGCTAACAACGCATTTAAATGTACTGTTAATTAATTTGAACGCAACAATATAATATCCACAACTCTTCTTCTTGTAAAATGGAATGCAAGTAAAATAAACCACTTCAGATTTTCACAATTTAAACATTTTAAATTAACAGATAAATTGACATAGTTCCCTTTTCTTAACTACATCAGTCCTTAGACTGCGTGGCCAAAAACACACCAGCACGTAGTGGGCCAATGCGGAGAGTTTAGCCTGACAATTTGGGTGGATCATGCCAATTAATCATTTTAATGGAGTCGATCATAGTGGAGGTTTGCGGTCAGGAAACAAGATAGCCACCTCCTCTCAACACTTCTGGTAATTATTTCAAAATCTAACACCTCCTGTAGTTTAGATTTACTTTTCCTGGTGTGCTGAATTAAATCATTTATTTATATCAAATGACAGGCATTTTGTTGGTTATCATTAACATTTTAGTTGACTTTAGGCTCCACAGAGGGGAAGGAGCATTAAAGTGTCGAGAGGGGGGGGATAGAAGAGTGTTTCAAAGGAGAAGGTAGAAAAGGTAGAAAAAGGTGAGGTGAGACTGTGAAAGTATTCGAATATGACATACAGTGGAGTGATGGTAGTTTGACGTCAGAAGTCAACTGCCGGTTTATAGACTTTATTGCCCTATGAGTATACGTTGCCTATGGTGCACCACGTGGAGGTAATTCTATCGCACACCCCGAATTAGATCATTGATTTTCAAAAAGTGCAACAGTCACAACAATAGAATTTGCTTCTAAGACGACGTCTACGGCTTGTTCACAAGTTGATCACACTGGATGATTGGTACTTCTAGAGGGCAGGATACTAAGCGTTTGTGCTATTTTTACAGAATAAAGATGACATGCAGAAGAATAACCAGAAATCGTAGTGGTACACATTTATTAGGTATGTATAAGTAGTAGATATAGAATAAGGAAGATACGTTTATCTCAAAAGTAATTGATATGCAAGATACATAATTAATGCTCTGAATTCCTTTAATTTGATTTCCGCTGTTCACAAAGGCAATTATTGCAAGATCAATAATGCCCCTGCTTCAACTTGCTGCTGCTCCAATAAGCGATGAATCAATTAAATTTATTCTTCAATTTTGAGCATTTTTGACATCGCCTTCTACACTATCTGTTCTCATGTATTTACATTCTTTCTACACATGATCTTTGCTCAGACCATCGAGTCAGGATGGCTTCAGCGGCCCAGTGGTCTAGGGGTATGATTCTCGCTTTGGGTGCGAGAGGTCCCGGGTTCAAATCCCGGCTGGGCCCACGCCAATACCTTTTGGGTGCGCGATATGCTTACCTCCACGTGGTGCGCAAAGGTAACGTACACTTATACGGCAAAAATCTACAAACTTCTGGCTTTAAACTACCATGACCCGACATTACAACATATTCCACCAATTCCAAGGCACTCACCTTAACTTCTTCTCTTCGTGGAATAATTTTTATCAGCAACCCTGGCGATGAATCACAAAATTTATATCTTTGAATTTGAGCCTTCCACTAATCCTTTAACTACCGAGTTGTTTTTTGAAAAATGTACCCAACTACACTCACGCGTGCCTAACAGCAGACTGATGTCACCGACGTGGTGAGTTTTGGACATGCTTCAAACTGCAATATTGTCTCCTGTTACGAGACCAGTACCAATGGAGTTTATTTTGAAAGAAGACTGTACGATCCTAAGGGCGTCACAGGGTTAATAATTTAAATTGAGTTAATTTAATCTCGGACTTTGCCACCACATTCTTTCATGCATCTATCATGGGCAGTTCGTGTGAGCGTCTCAGTTTCATTCACCCTCGGGCCAAGTTGGTTAGCCAACGTGTGTTTTCCCTACTTAATTTATATGTCCAGGCTACTGTCATCTGTACACTTACGTCTATAATTTATTTATTCGAAGCGTTCTTTGTCTTACATCATTCCATTGTCTTTTATTGAATCCTTGTGCTTCCTCTATTGACTGATTATTACCGACTTGCAGTGGAAAAAAAACGTGAAATCTCGTCTTCGCTTCCGGCCACTTTTGCCACTTTCCGGGCAATTTTGAGGCATGACGAAGTTTTTAGCATTTTATAATGATATGAAGCTGGGGTGTGCAATAGACTTACCTCCACATGGTGTTCCCTGGGCAACGTATACTCATACGGCAAAAAGTCTATTAACTGGCAGTTGACTTCTCACTTCAAACCACCATGACCCCACTGTATTTCATATTCGACCACTTCCACAATACTCACCTCACCTTTTCTCTACCTTCATGTCGGTCGGTTTCTTTTACATTTCGGGATCTCTCTTCTGTTCCCCCTCCCGACCGTTGTGTCACTTTGATATTCCTCCTCCTCCTCTCTGTGAAGCCCGAAGTCAGCTTAAGGGCTAATGATAGCTGTCAAACCACCTGTCATTTGAACTATATATAATGATATGAATAACTACAAACTAGACAGTTGGGCTAGTAATAGCCTTGCCCAAGAAGTTGAAATTAGATCCCTAACCTCTCTGTCAGGTTCTTAGACCAATGCAATGAAGCCTCCACAATTCCCTCGTTAGATTCGTCATAGTAGTGCTACCATTTGTAACTACTTATGTATGATGTCCTATATTGAATTAAAATGATAGAGTCATTCTGTCATCGTTAGAATCTATTCACAAAAGATAACACTGTATTGTATTTGAATATTCTTCTTTTCAAATCAAATCAATTGACCACCAACTCGATGCTGAAAAAAATGGGAACTTGCATTAGATGAAATGTATGGAAAACATCTGGTTTGATAATATAATAATAAATAATAATTTGAAATATATTGTTAAAGGTAATGTCAAGGACGTTCCTATGTCTAGTTTAAGAAATTTTGAGAGGTATTTTCGTGAATGCACTGTTTCATTGGAATATGTTGGACAAAATCACTCGTCATTGGATTTTTTTCTCGTCTTAAACAGTGTGGTGATTTGCAGTACTCCCAGCATTGGCTACTGCTTCTAATTCTGTTTCTCTTCTTCTTCTTTTTCTTCTCCTCTTTCTCTTTCTCCTGCTTCTTCTTTTTATCCTTCTTTTTCCTCTCCATGGGGCTCGTCTAGAGGTTCAATGAGGTTAAAAAGCATACTTTCCTGTGATTCATGCATCAGATGCCCGATATTCGAGTTGAAGGGCTTCTGTTTGGTTATCACACGTTTAAAGAATTCCATTATGAAAGCAAAGGAAAATAATAGGGAAAGCCAAGGGATTTTGTAAACAAGAAGCCATGCCAAAACTACAAGCAGAGTATTCAAAAGGAAGATCATCACTGGCTTCTAGTTCTATCACCCGTCCTTCACGACCATTTATTTTGTGAAAGATGGACTTTATGATCACCGGATTAGACATGAGAATTTGTTATTGTTTGAAATGATCACATTCATGAAATATACATGATTTGAAATAAGATTGAAATCTCATCTTTCATTCCAAACGACCTATCCACATCCTTCATATAGGTTTAATTAAATTTAGTCTACCTCAATCACTCACACTACGTTCAGTTCCTCATATTCCACAAATGGTCAATTCTATTACAATTGCAATGAAAATTTTTTGAAAGCCGAGTTGTCTGTGGTGACGAGGAGGTATAATTTTAATTAAAATTTGAAGTTAATAATCCTTGTTAGGATGGAGAAGTTTGGTCAATTTTGCACGTTAACTGAACCTTCGGAACCGCCTTTACTAATGCAACCGAAGGCAATGTTTTGTGATGGCAGACTGTCTCCAGAGGTTTTGCTGCTCAGCATTACTAATTTGAGGACGAATTTTCCAAGCCACAAGCTCACTGGAAATACATGTCAGCAAGCTGAATGGACCAATGTAAAGCGAAACATCGCAATAAAGTGGTCTGCGACATGACCTGGATTGTTAATTACTACGTGCTACTTAATGAATTAGAGGATCGCGACTGTGAGGTAATGTGCTTTACTCTCTTTGTTCATTCTTGTCCTTATGTTTATTCTTCATACTTCATGCAGACTTTATACTTTTTCATATTAACTTGTCTGGAGTGCGTACTTACTTCCACGTAGTGCACCCTTGGTAGCATGTACCCATAAGACAAAAAGTCTATAAATCCCCATTAGACTTTTTTTGACTTTGTTGTTTCCCCCTCCCACCTGTGAAGCCCGAATTCAATTATAGGTCCAATGATAACTATCATACATCCTGCCATATGATAAAAATGAATATCAATTTGTCTTATCAATAGAATTTCCAAAAAATAAAGATATACTTAGACCCCATCTCATACACTTATCATTTGTTATCCTCATTGAACTAATGCAGTGTCTTCCCTCAACCCATTTCAATCCTGTTGTGGTCTAATGAAATCGATAGGACAGATAAATCAAATTACCAAACTACACAATTTAATTAGACGCCTTCACATTTATACTTATAGAAATCGTTTTACGAGAGGGTTGGTCATCAAAAGTAGAAGTCGCTCGGGGAGCGATGATCTTAATACCACTGAGGAGATAGACACCTGAGTTAAATAACACAGCTCTTCGGATCACGTTTGACTAGTTGTTTGCATTTTCATCAAGTTCATGAAAAAATCAATATTTGCAATAAATCAATGAAATATCTAAGTTTTTTGGATTCCAACCCCTCCACCCCTCCACACATGGGCAAAACACTAATTCCAATGGCACCAAAATAATTTTAGTAATAAAAATCGTACACAAGCATATTCAAAGGAAATATAATTGGGATTTATTATTGACTAGTCTACTATGCCATTCCTGTGAAGATCATTGATTTCTACTTTTGTTCCATATTGGCCAATAATAACCAACTACCCGGTTGTAGAGATTACAAATATTTATCGCTTCGTGTGCAATAAATTCCAAAACATTCGCGCACAGTTCCCGCAAGTAGACACCGCAGGGTTGACTAGTGGGTGGTGCGGATATACTTTTCTCTCTGGGTTTCATGATGTACACTTTCAAGAGAACTGAAGAAATTTCTTTGCCTATTTCTGCATCGTCAGATAAGACTGCCTCATCCACAGCGGTTATCACTTCATAATTATTCATCAATTTCGTGAATTGAAATTTGGTCAGTGCCATACTACTCTTCCCTTCAGACTGACATCCTTCAGCTCTAAGAAGTTTCCAGAATTCCATTGCAATTACTGTTGACACTGCAGGAATAAGAACGGGATATTTCAAGACAAGAATGCACCAAACGATAGCGAAAATTACATCAGTCTGAAGATACATTTTGAGGGCAAATTTGAAAGCAGAGATTTGGGTGGTTTATATAGATTTTCATTATGATTTTTTGGCATTTTTACATCATGTTTATCTCACAAATCACATGCTGCAATTTTTTTCCTGAAAGTACGGAAGACAGACTCGCATCTGTTAGACACGTTTTAACAAAATAACTAATAAAGTTGAAAAGATAATAGTTTTTTGCTTATTTTTCACGATTATCTTAAAACAAGAAGCAAATTCTGTAGACAATTATTAACAAGTGGATGAGAAAGGAATTTTCAAATAAATAGATTCGTGCGTTCGTTTGTATTCTAAGATAGTAGACTGATCATCCGATCCAATGTCTTCCAACTGAGAGTGAAGCAAAATATAGCTGTTTAGACCAATTTTGGAATAAGTTGCAATTTGGAAATAAACTGCAAATCGACTTATATGACACCAAACCCACGTAACATCCTTCATCTCTTCAAATCATAGCACACATTTTTGGTGCTGGCTACAATCCACATCTCTGTTCACAAGAAGACTGTGAACATCAAGTATTAGGTGCTAGGATTCAGCATACTAACGTAGAAAAGTAAATCGGAACTCCATATTCAATGAAGTCCTAACACCCCTCCTCCCAAATATTTCCTACTTAAAGATCTACATCCACCTTTTCCACTGCTTCAGCAAACCCCGAATACCACTATTCCGATTTTACTAGTAGTTTAATGTTTCAAATGAATCTCACCTCAATCCATTCCATTCCATGGAAGTGAGGCATTCATCTTCAATTAAGTTATCTGCCTTTTTCGTGATATGAGAACACAGAAAAGCGAAAGTCACCCAAAGTCCATAAATGATCAATAAATTTTGGTTTCTCCCGATGAATCGATGATGAGGAGGATGAGTTGTCTATTCTACGAAAGCTGTGTCCACCTTTCCCCACTCTTCATGCTACCTCATTAATCAACAATCTCAGTGGTACGACTAAAGAGTTTACAAATTCTTGCACTGACTCTTAACTGAGAACAAGCTTGCTTCAGCCCTAATGTCTCCTCCACCAATGCAGCAACCAATGTGCACATCTATATATTTCAAAATTTACCTTTTCACTTTCATCCCTGGCAATCTCCACTCTTCGTCCCTCCCCTTCTTGTTCTGACAGATGTTGTGTGGCGGCACTTGTTCTACGCTTGTAGTTTGGGTGGTAGAGACGCAAATGCTTTCGTAAAGAGGAATCGAATTTGTAACTCCTCTTGTCCGGACACAGTGGACAGACATGAGGTCCGTTCACAGGAAAGATGGGCATCTTTGTTGCCGCCTTTTTCCCCGAGATGTCATCGCAATTGATGGACTACAGGCGAAGACCAGAAATGAAACAGAAGTAGTGAAGGACATGCAGTCGAAACCTTCGTATTGTCATAAACCCCACTAGCACAATATGTTCGACATTTTTAAATGTCAACGAGAGACTGAAGTCGTCTAACAGACAATCCGATAAGTGATAAGGAAGAGGCTACACAAACGAAGTTCGAAGCAACTTCACAATACCATTGACTCCTGCTTCCAAGGGTTTTCGACTCTCATTGAACAGTATCTACTACAACTGCACAGTTCACAATTCACATTCCATATTTCAATTATCATTACTGCGTTGCAATCGATTACTGTCCACGGCACCTTGACATGGATAACAGTCTCAGTGCACATGTTACAAAAGAATTGCTGTGTTTATTTCAAGACCCAATGAACCTCCCATTGTCGGGAGGGTGACTTATGTGAAGCCACAATCAACAAATTATTCAATATTCAAAAGAGCGTGTCTATACACATAACACTCCGTTTTATGAAGTGGATGCATCTCTACAGACCCAGGATCATTCCTCGTGGATCTTCAACTTATCTTGCTCCATACTCTAATCACGACTCATTTCCATCCCTTACAAAGACACTTTCAGCCTATTCGTTAAGGAATGCACATCGCCCGATTCTACACACATACATACGCACATACACACACATTCGACTTTATTTCTATATGAACACTTCTTCATTCCCAAATTTCATAGGTTTACCTGCTCAACCGAGTCACGTTGTTGACCATCCTTCACCATACACTTGGCTCGATCCGTAGATCGGGCATAGGCCTTTCTACACTCTTCACATGTGGACCTCATGCCTGAATGGAACAAAAAAAAAATATATATATATATATATATAAACACAGGATGTATATTCTGAAATTTCAGATATAGGAAGAAGTAAAACACAGCAAGATAGGCAGTGAATTGTTCCTTGTTCGATACCGAAAAATATTTTGGCTCTTTACATAGTCATATTATAGAATGGCCATCGGCAACATTCATGGTCTTTTGTAGAAGTTGAACTAACAAGGAAGAAAGAAAACAAAAAACTCCAATCAAAGGCCATCAACTGCGAGTTTGCCCTCGACAACAATAACCTGGATACGAGGCACAAGTCTCCATGGCTAAAACCGCAGGGTTTGAAACATTCCGAAAATTACGGCGTGCTACCCGCGCCTATCGCGAGTAGACACCAGGATGCGTGCAGAGGCCTCCCAGCCAATCAGGGATCTAAGCTCGTACTCAATTGCTAATTATTTTGCATTAAACTCCACATTATGCCTCCCATTCTTGCCACTTTGTACGTAGACTAGCTAATTTGCTTCTAGAAGCTACTTAAAAGCGCACGAGGCTTGTTGGTGTTCTAAGAGAATTATTAAGATTTAGCCAAGACATTACTTGTAGAGTAACCTCTACAAATCTCAAAAGGATAAAGAAACCCGACAGTCCCTCCCCATGGACCCTATTTCATCCTTTTTTCCCATGAGGGCCAGCGATCCATACCCGCTCTACCATTTCCTACCTTCTATCCTCACTACTCTCCCCCCCCCCTCTATGTTTGTCCAATGCAATAGTGTTCCACTTCTGGCATTCGGAGGAAATCTCTAAGTCCGCCTTGGTCAGGCACTTAAAGTAACATTACTCTCTGAAATAAGGAACATCAGTGTCAAGAAATCAAGCACCATCGTTCGAGCAGGTGTCACAGCTCATGAAAATAAAATATGGTTACAAACAAATAAACTCAATTAGAAGTAATAATTCCAACGATCCTCCAAATTAGCACATTTTATTAAAAATGACAATTTCATTATTAACTAAAAAAAGTTTGATTAATTAAAAATATCTTAGAAAGCAGTCCGATAGAAAGATGGGCAAATAAAATCGGCTATTTGTGTGCAAAGACGTTATGTTCACTTTTTTCTGCAATAAAAGCCTGACAGCTAATTGAATTATCTAACTACAACAATGGGGAGAGTTTGTCTCTCCAATTAAACAATTAGAAATTTCAGTTAATAAATTAGGGTGACTTCCCAACTAGACTCGTAAATAACCGGAATTTCTATCAATGTTGCCTCAACGAATACTACTTATTGTCAGAATCAGCGACTTACCACCAGTGTGAAGAAGTTTGCGTCGACTTAAATGTTGATTGGAGGTGGATCTTTCAGAATCTCCCCTTTCACATACGAAAGGCTTGCGTCGGAAGGGACAATTCAAATAATCTTGGAGATTTCTATAGAATCAATGAGGAGAAAACGTTACATCGACGAGTCAAACCCCACTCAAACGAATTGCTGGCCAAGAATACATACTTAATGCCTCCTTAAAGTGAGTACATATGCTTATCTACAATTGTAAATCAGCACTGTTAAACTGATATTATTTAGAAATTTCCGTAATTTGTTATACCCTGCAAAACACCAAAAAAGCATTCAAGATTTTATCCGGAGGCTGAGTGGTCGAACGGGAGGTAAAGGAAGAAGTCAAAATGTCAAGAGTTATCCACCATCTTATAAGGGTTGTAAATCAGGATGTAGTGACCAAATGTTGCAAAGTTCATTCTCCACAGTTATCCAAGTAAGTTTATTCCGCAAATATGATGGGTGTGCAATAGACTTACCTCCACTTGGTGCACCCTGGGCAACTTATACTCGTACTGCAAAAAAGCCAATAAACCGACAGTTGACTTCTCACTACAAGCTACCACTTCACAGTACTCACCTTACCTTTTCTCTGTTTTGGTGTCTGTCCGTCTCTTACATCTGTGAATCACTCTTCTGTACCCCCCCCCCCTCGACTTCTTATAACTTTGATGTTCCTCCCCTCTGTGAAGCCCCAAGTCAGCTAAAGTACTAATGATAACTATCAAAACGGTTGCCACTTTTAATAAATAACTGTTCATTCTATAATTTCCCACCTACTCGCTAGTCCAAACTGTTTTTATAACGGAACTATCAATTTGATAATACTGTGTTCTTGAACAAAATCTGTCTTAGATTTTGATCGAAATGTGTAACACGGAAATGAAACGCCTGCCATTCGAAATAAATAAATAAATAAATGATTCCGCAAATATTCCGAACCTGTTCAACAATTAGGCATCACTTTTAAATACCAGCTTCTTACAAACATGGGTGAAACGATGAGACTATAAAAGGCAGTTGAGACATACATAGCTAATCTCACTCAAGTTGAGAAATCTAATCCCTAAACGCACTATCGGCTCTCACTTCGATGAAACCACAGCCAGAAGAAGACCTAAAGTGAGAAAAATTAATGGAGAGAGAGGTGGGACATCGTAAATCGTAATTAGTGATTTGATCAAATGAAAATATTCACCCTGCGTTAAATGAATTACACTTACGCTGACCATGAATTCCTCCGATAAATCACCAGCAAACTTAGGCATATTTTTTTTCATTGAACGAGTGAACCGGTTAAAAAGATTACGTAAGAGTAATTTCACAGTACAGGATCAGAATTTCCCGCTACTAACTAGAATGATAACCGCACATTTTGAGAGGGTTAAACTCACATTTTAGAAGCGTCAAATTTGACTAAATCTAAATTGATTACGTCCACAAGCTATAAGAAGAAAAATACTGCCCACTTAGGGACGTGTTCCAACTGATTTTAACAGAGAGCTAGGACGTACACTCTGTCATTTATTTAAGAGTAGGTAGAAAAGGGACTTATAGGTCCGAGAGCTCACAGAAAGCGTTTGGGAAATCAAATATTTCAACAGGGAGGCTTCATGATGATGGCCTTCTACTTTAAATGAATGCTGAAAACGAACTTGAGTGCTTATTATTGACCACAGAAAGAGATCTCGCAAGTCACAATCAGGTGACTTCTGTTGACAGGGGATAAGATGCGAGAGAGACTTGCACATCTTGAGTGAAAGAAGACATAGGGAGAAGGGAAAAGAGGCAAAAAATAAAATTTTAGGATTAAATACGGATTGTAGCAAGATTATCATTTATAATTGTATTACTTTAACAATTAATGACTATGAATCACGACAAAATTCCGAGTACCGTACGTGAAATGCAATTGTCAACGAAAGAAATTAACTCCTTAAGTATTCTGAAAATGTTAAGAAGTAAGAAATTGTTATTCCCTTCTGGTAACACTAACAGTAGATTTAAAAATAAATGCGTAATCGATCGAGATAAATCAAATGTGTCTCGATTTAGAAGTTATATATCGTGAGTCCGGGGTGCACCCTAGGTAACGTAGTCACATACGGCAAAAAAGTCTATAATTCTGCAGTTGACTTCTGACTTCAAAATACCACGACCCCACTGTATGTCAGATTTGACCACTTCCACAGTACTCATCTCACCTCACCCATTTCTCTACCTTTGCGTCTGCTTCTACTTTACATCTGCTCCCTCCTCCACTGCCATTTAATACAAATATTGTGAGTTCCGATGCGTAAAATATCTTTACCAATCAATCTAAATGCTGATGGGACACAATTGAATTAATGAAGTGGGATAATTTACCGCACAATTAAATCAATTGGTAAAAATTAATCTGAATATCGTGAGAGGGAACACACGCAACCAGAAATCCAAGAAACACTTGGATACTAGCGTACCAATTACCCACCAACAACTTGATGTTTGCAGAAGTCAAATACACAGCAAAACTCTCGTTACCATAACTCCATTATGTACTTCTATGTGCTACCTCTTGAGCAGATTCGTTCATTATTGGACTACATTGTTACGATATCTCATAATTACCGTGGTTTAAATGCTGCTATTGTTGAAGGAGGAGAATGAGAGGAGGAGAGTATTGGACGGACATGGCGGCGATCCTTTGGGTTTCCACGGTTGCCTGGAGATTGACTCTGATTAACTCCTGGATTTATTTGATCCTGCTGCAAAATACACGATAATTTTGCCAAATTGAAAATGGCGAGCAAATAAAAGATTTGTGACTCTAATATAGAGTGTTCACAGTTAGATTTATAGCATTTTCCTGAGTGGAGTTATGAGGCATCCTTTACAATTAATAGACGTATAAAATTTGTCAGAAATTATCACTCCGAAGAGTGAGAGGATGCAAACACTACGATAAGGTGTCAGAAATTGCTTGTGGCAAATATATATCACAGTAGAACTTACAGTCCTTAGTTTCGGGATCTGTTTTTCTTCTTGTGCTTTGACGGCTGGGTCAATCTCCTGCACATAACAATATGCCAAAGGTCAATAATTAGACAGTATCTACCTGATGGCTGAAAGTAACTATAGGTGGAAGCACACTCAAATATTGACCAGTTGTTTGTTGATCCATTCGTGATATGATAGAATGCCGCTTATCGTGGTCATTAGAAGTCCGTTCAGAAGGGTCATCGATTCCCCCTCCGATTGAAAGATCCTGAAAAAGGTAAAAGAGAAAAAAATAGTACAAACCCATAAACGAAGATGGACTTCCCATAGTCAAAAGGCAAATAAAAGCAAGGCATATGCACAAGAACTTTAATTTTTCACAAAATAATCAACTAATGCACAATCCTCTTGAATCGGAAAAATTTGCTAAAATCACAGTCAACCTTGTGATTACTTTTTGGTAATTTGGGGACCTCTAAAAGCGGTGCATTGGAATCGACACGCAACCAATCGTGACAAAGAGTTTTGAAGGTCAGGGAGCTATCTTCCATTAGAGGTTTAGTGAATACGGAAAAGTCCATACACTTGAAAAGAGAAACTAATTTGCATATTACTAGTTCCTGCTGCCCGCGAATACTGAGGGACTTTTCGTCTGTATCGGCTGGTTTGTAGTAGGTTTCAGCAATCTGCTGAAAATAACCAGGTTTGTGGGTAGATAGAGCGAAGTTATAAGCATCTAATGAATTTTGAGGTGGAAAAGGTAGATTTGGGTTCCCATCTACATAAGCAAGTCTAGAAAGAACATTTTCCATTCCAGTCCACCGAAGTCCTGGTGGTAACTGAGTGGCCAAGACTTGCCGTATCTGAGATTCCTCAGATTTGACTAATTCTGTAACTTGTGCCATGCAAATCGTTTCAATAATAATAAGCCAGAGTTTTATCGCTTCAGTGTCGAAGCGTATAACTCGATCAAGTGAGCGGAAGATACGATACGGATTCTTGCTCTGTTTCCTTAAAAAAGCGTGCGCTCCACGTTCTGATATTGGAAAAAATTCTGAAATAGCGTTTGAAGTCCACTCAGATGGGTCTGTTAATGATAAATGTGATATCTGTTCTCTCGCACGGTATGAAAGGATAGATGATTCTGGAGAACCCCTACAGAGTACGATAACATAAAAGCAAGCAAACCTACTTGAGCAATTTTTTGTAAAGTATTTGCGCTTTAATCCTTTTTCGAGCACTCTTATGATCCTCAGTAAGACTTTCAGCTACAGAACGTGATGTATCTGTGACAAGTGTGTTAGATAAGTTCTCAATAGCATCATAGAATTCGTCATCTATTTCCAAGCTATCATCCCATTTGCTGCCTGAGTTTTTATTTCTATTAGGCTGTCTAGACCTAGCATTTAATATAGATAAGGTTCTAAATCCACGTGAAAAAATTAGACTACGGATAACACCCATTAATGCCATTTTTTAAATCAATTTCCTATTGGTTGAAAGTAGACTTTCACATTTGCCGCATCTAATTTGAGAACCAGATTATCCAGCTGATAATTTTAAACATATTATGCACAATAACAACGAAAAGAAGTTTTATACTTTATATTTCTAATTTTATAGATACTAATACTTTTAATGGCAATATTTTATCTGGTTAGCAGTCAAAATGGATAATTTGCAACCCGTAATTTTAATTTGAAAAGGAAATTGTTTTTAAATCAAGACATCTCTGAAAAATCTAGGTTAATTAAGGCTTAATTAACGAATAAATCACAACTTGACATGGAATAAATATACTTTATATGCAGTTTAAACATGTTGAAAATTCAATGAAAATGGTATCTAATGCGATTTTTTGTCACTACTTTGGTCTCCTGTATTACAATATTGCTACGTATGTACCACCTGCACAAAGTGGAACATTAATATTGAGAAGAGAATGAATTAATGGAATATGTCAAATTTTTCATGTTTCTAAAACATTTTGCTGAAAGCCACCCCATTTTGGTATTAAAAATATTATACCCTTAAGTTCGTCAATCTTGTCTGGTCATCTCTGTTTTATTGACTTCTATGCGCCTCATCTGTGTTCTTTATTCCGAATTGCTATAGGCAACGACATGAAATTTGGAGTATTTTTTCAAATTTGCAATTTTAATAATTAGAAATTGTTTATCTTTCCAGTTTATTAGAATTTGGTTAAGTATTTTAGATTCAATACCTTCCACAAAAAATTCTTATCTATATATTTGAGTATTGAATCAAACCTGACGCGACCGGGGTCACGTTGGAACTATGCTTTTCCTGGGTCACCAGAGTTTAGTAGCATAGTCTAACGATACGGTAATCCCATTTTAAGTCGTATTCAATCAATGGATGTTGGTATAAATTTGTTATATAAATGACTCACAACTATATAAACCTCAAATCTCGTTTAAACTACTTTTCTGCATAGAGAATAACTAAATTAAAATCGTCTATACTATGACCGAGTCTGTTGAAATTGTAACACATCCTCATGCATGTATTCCAAATTACTAACTAGATTGTCATTTGTAGCCTATCTTCCAAGTGCCACAAATATCTTTTTCTAACCATACTGAGCATCGATTTACTTATGCTTCATTGGACTACTTTAATTCACTATCCTTTAAACTACAATGCTAATTTCAAAATACTTGAAAAGTCCCCTATTTTTGAAAGTTCACCATAGATATAAAGAAAAGGACTAAGGCATTTTACCTTGTTTGCCACTCATATAACCTAGTGCATTATTATTTATAGATTAAAGTACTTGTCTGATAAAGTGTGTTAGATAGATATTAGACATAAGGATTTTAAACGAGTAGTAAAAGCGATATGTGAAATTATCTTTGATCTACCTTTACTGTTTTTGCTCAGGGATTATGAAAATGATCTCAAAATAAACAAAGGAGATTGTGAGATAGGCTTGTGACGATCTACTTTAAACATTCCTTTAAAGCAACTGTTTATCGCTATTTGATTTACATAAAACTAAGGAATTTGCATTTTTTGGTAATGTTAATGTCACCAAGTATTTAAGCTAACGAGTTCTGCTAGCTTAAAGTACTTGAGCGTTACATCTCCTTAATGTGACCTGCTAAATATCATGCAAGGTCGCTTTACCATGGGGGCTTTTGTTTGTTTTCTTTCTTCCTTGTTAGTTCAACTTCTACAAAAGACCATGAATGTTGCCGATGACCATTCTATAATATGACTATGTAAAGAGCCAAAATATTTTTCGGTATCGAACAAGGAACAATTCACTGCCTATCTTGCTGTGTTTTACTTCTTCCTATATCTGAAATTTCAGAATATACATCCTGTGTTTATATATATATATATTTTTTTTGTTCCATTCAGGCATGAAGTCCACATGTGAAGAGTGTAGAAAGGCCTATGCCCGATCTACGGATCGAGCCAAGTGTATGGTGAAGGATGGTCAACAACGTGACTCGGTTGAGCAGGTAAACCTATGAAATTTGGGAATGAAGAAGTGTTCATATAGAAATAAAGTCGAATGTGTGTGTATGTGCGTATGTATGTGTGTAGAATCGGGCGATGTGCATTCCTTAACGAATAGGCTGAAAGTGTCTTTGTAAGGGATGGAAATGAGTCGTGATTAGAGTATGGAGCAAGATAAGTTGAAGATCCACGAGGAATGATCCTGGGTCTGTAGAGATGCATCCACTTCATAAAACGGAGTGTTATGTGTATAGACACGCTCTTTTGAATATTGAATAATTTGTTGATTGTGGCTTCACATAAGTCACCCTCCCGACAATGGGAGGTTCATTGGGTCTTGAAATAAACACAGCAATTCTTTTGTAACATGTGCACTGAGACTGTTATCCATGTCAAGGTGCCGTGGACAGTAATCGATTGCAACGCAGTAATGATAATTGAAATATGGAATGTGAATTGTGAACTGTGCAGTTGTAGTAGATACTGTTCAATGAGAGTCGAAAACCCTTGGAAGCAGGAGTCAATGGTATTGTGAAGTTGCTTCGAACTTCGTTTGTGTAGCCTCTTCCTTATCACTTATCGGATTGTCTGTTAGACGACTTCAGTCTCTCGTTGACATTTAAAAATGTCGAACATATTGTGCTAGTGGGGTTTATGACAATACGAAGGTTTCGACTGCATGTCCTTCACTACTTCTGTTTCATTTCTGGTCTTCGCCTGTAGTCCATCAATTGCGATGACATCTCGGGGAAAAAGGCGGCAACAAAGATGCCCATCTTTCCTGTGAACGGACCTCATGTCTGTCCACTGTGTCCGGACAAGAGGAGTTACAAATTCGATTCCTCTTTACGAAAGCATTTGCGTCTCTACCACCCAAACTACAAGCGTAGAACAAGTGCCGCCACACAACATCTGTCAGAACAAGAAGGGGAGGGACGAAGAGTGGAGATTGCCAGGGATGAAAGTGAAAAGGTAAATTTTGAAATATATAGATGTGCACATTGGTTGCTGCATTGGTGGAGGAGACATTAGGGCTGAAGCAAGCTTGTTCTCAGTTAAGAGTCAGTGCAAGAATTTGTAAACTCTTTAGTCGTACCACTGAGATTGTTGATTAATGAGGTAGCATGAAGAGTGGGGAAAGGTGGACACAGCTTTCGTAGAATAGACAACTCATCCTCCTCATCATCGATTCATCGGGAGAAACCAAAATTTATTGATCATTTATGGACTTTGGGTGACTTTCGCTTTTCTGTGTTCTCATATCACGAAAAAGGCAGATAACTTAATTGAAGATGAATGCCTCACTTCCATGGAATGGAATGGATTGAGGTGAGATTCATTTGAAACATTAAACTACTAGTAAAATCGGAATAGTGGTATTCGGGGTTTGCTGAAGCAGTGGAAAAGGTGGATGTAGATCTTTAAGTAGGAAATATTTGGGAGGAGGGGTGTTAGGACTTCATTGAATATGGAGTTCCGATTTACTTTTCTACGTTAGTATGCTGAATCCTAGCACCTAATACTTGATGTTCACAGTCTTCTTGTGAACAGAGATGTGGATTGTAGCCAGCACCAAAAATGTGTGCTATGATTTGAAGAGATGAAGGATGTTACGTGGGTTTGGTGTCATATAAGTCGATTTGCAGTTTATTTCCAAATTGCAACTTATTCCAAAATTGGTCTAAACAGCTATATTTTGCTTCACTCTCAGTTGGAAGACATCGGATCGGATGATCAGTCTACTATCTTAGAATACAAACGAACGCACGAATCTATTTATTTGAAAATTCCTTTCTCATCCACTTGTTAATAATTGTCTACAGAATTTGCTTCTTGTTTTAAGATAATCGTGAAAAATAAGCAAAAAACTATTATCTTTTCAACTTTATTAGTTATTTTGTTAAAACGTGTCTAACAGATGCGAGTCTGTCTTCCGTACTTTCAGGAAAAAAATTGCAGCATGTGATTTGTGAGATAAACATGATGTAAAAATGCCAAAAAAATCATAATGAAAATCTATATAAACCACCCAAATCTCTGCTTTCAAATTTGCCCTCAAAATGAATCTTCAGACTGATGTACTTCTCGCGATAATTTGGGGCATTCTTGTCTTGATGTATCCCATTCTTATTCTTGCGGTGTCAGCTGTAATTGCAATTGGGTTCTGGCAGCTTCTTAGAGCTGAAAGGCGTCAGTCTGAAGAGGAGGGTAGGATGCCACTGACCAATTATGCTGTGGATGAGACAGTTTTAACTAACGATGCAGATACAGGCAGGGCGAAAATTGTTTCCGCACTACATGTTAGGAATCTCTTCGATATCTTCCTGGAGGAAATTTGCGCGCGCATTTTGGAATTTGTTGCAAATTATGGAATGAAGATTTATAATTTCTACTGCTGGGCAGTTGGTTATTTTGTTTCTTAAATCTGGCCAATTGGAAGAGGAAGTGGGAAACAATGATTTCCACAGGAATGGCTTAGTAGACTAGTCGATATTAAATCACAATTATATTTAATTTGATTATGCGTGTGTGTGACGCATGCATAAATATACGACTTTTATTACTGAAAGCTTAGATATTTCATTGATTTATTGCAAATATTGATTTTTTCATGAACTTGATGAAAATGCAAACAACTAGTCAAACGTGATCCGAAGAGCTGTGTTATTCAACTCAGGTGTCTATCTCCTCAGTGGTATTAAGATCATCGCTCCCCGAGCGACTTCTACTTTTGATGACCAACCCTCCCGTAAAATAGTGGTAACGGTTACTATAAGTAATTTTTTTGTAAATATATAGCGTTAAATATAATTTGGAATGTCCTTACTCTTTCGTATATTTATAATTGTCCACGAATCTCATGTTTTAATGTTGCGTTTTTTTCAACTATGTTTCCGCAAGTAGAAACACCTTCGCATGTTTGCTGAGTCATATCGTCTTTTGATACTTATTCCCATGAAAAGTGGTTTCATGTCAACTTTTCCTCCTCTCTTCGCTTTCCTCCGTTTCGCCTGCGGCATCTGAGAATTCTTATTTTTTTTACATTGGATTATGGCAACAGGAAGTTTTAATAACTTGCCTTGAGTAGCTTAAGTATTATTGGCAATTTCCAATGTCTTGTGCTTTATATGATCTTTATTTCCCAATGCGTCTAATCATTTATTTATTTATATCAAATGGCGGGCGTTTTGATAGTTATCATTAGCCCTTTAGTTGAATTGAGGCTTCGCAGAGGAGAGGAACATCAAAGCGGGAAAAGGTGGAGAGGGGGGGGGACAGAAGAGTGATTCACAGGTGTAAGTGAGACAGACATAATGGTAGAGAAAAAGGTAAGGTGAGTACTATGGAAGTAGTCGAATATGACATACATTGGAGTCATGGTAGTTTGAGGTCAGAAATCAACTGCCGGTTAATAGACCGTTGCCCAGGGTGCACCACGTGGAAGTAAGTCTATCGCACACTCCTTGTGTCTAATCATGCAAACACATGAACTCATGGCATCGCGACCCCAAGCAAACTTCTTGATTTGACCCGGTAAAGTTCTGGCAAGGTCATTTGTGTGAAAGTCTTTGTTAGTAGAGTTCCCGCAGTGCTGGACATGTCCACTTGATTGATAAAATTTGGCCACTTGGTTTTCGTGTTAGAAATTTGGATCGAACTGGGAAGATAAGTGAAAAGACTTCTCTTCTGGAAAGTAAGATTCTTCATGGAACTCGGGTTGTAATTTGTGCCATCTTGTTTGCAACACTTGTTGCAATGGATATATGCGGAAAGCTCATTTCTGATGAAAATTAGCCTTCTCAATGCAGTTGGTGTTGCAGTGTAATTTATTCGATGAGAAACGAAGGTGGCCTCGCCTCTCTCATCTTAATTTTGTTACCCATTTAGCTGGTTTAAGGTGGCCTGACTTGAGAAATTGATCACGTTCTCGAATCTATCTATTAGAAAAAAAATAGTTACTTGTGGTTGTCGCTGAGCGGTTAACTTCCACCCTAGATCACCTCTTACCCATTGGCATGTGCCGTCTGCGAGTCAAGGTGTGTGCGCGCGTGTGTGCGTGCCTGTAGGTGTGCGTGGGGGTGGGGGATGTGGGGGGGGGGGGGGGGGATGCACATGCAAACGTTTTGCATTTTTGGGGTTCATTATTTATGAGGCTCTTCATCTCATTGCGTACTCGCCAAAGCAAATATGCAAATACTTGTAAAATAGAGTGGCGAAATTGTTGGGATATATAGTGTGAGGCAGTGAAAGATATGTGGGAACCTCTCATATAAATTGGTCAAGCGATCTAAAATGCTTCTACTATTACTGGAATCGTGTTCGCCTATTCTTCCTTCTGATGCATCGTTGTTTTCTTTTTGCATTAAAATGGAGTAGTAAGAGTATGCATCCAAGGAACAACAAGTACTCCAAATGGCGATTGGCCATTCGAGCAGGATGTTATGACTTAAGTAGTCGCTTATTCTGCAAATGAGTCGTCTGCATTCCCGAGTGCTTGAAACACCCAGAAAGTGCCCAGGACTTTCATCGCGTATCGAAGTGCAGTATCCACCTTGTAACTGGGTCAAAATTTCTCCCAAGTGTGCGTTAACCCTTGTCTTTCAAAAGTATACATCGTGGTCGAATTGTATTTTTTCTTATTTTGCTTTGGTCTTCTTGTTCACACACAAATACGAGATCGAAACAATCTTTCCTCTGCTTCTTAGGGCATGTTTCCACACTCGGGCAGTTGTTTTTGTCAGCTTCACTTATTCTAAGTCTTGCAGTTTTTTTGTTTAATCTTCGCCTCCGATTTCAGCGGGCATTATCCTTTATTTAGCTAGATTTGAATTAAGAGGAATACGGTTATATGCACTCTCCCCTCTTGACTACATGTTTGTGGTCCTATTTATTTGCCCCAGTTTGGGAAAGATTTGAAGCTCTGTTTGTGGTGCATCTGCAGATATAATATTTCGGGGATCACTTTGGTAGTAGCAACCGTCCTAACTATTCTTCTAAACACTTCGCTTTTCCCGCATTGTGGTGATCGATACGTGGCATTGTTCTCATTCCTTTCTTTTGAGATTCGGCTAATTACTCTAATATTTTATTGATTTACACTTCACCTCTTCCAATTGGTAACAACGGGCGTACCACCTTTTCTCGTCTTTTCTTCACCGTTTTGGGTGTCTTATAGGTCCACTGGTCTTCTAAATTTCGACTAGAGGATTCGCAGCATTTTAGCCGGCTTTTTCGTGTTATGTCTTTAGTCCCGTGGGAAGCTGTGAGTTTCGATACTTTCTAATCAACTTGATATTGCACTAGCCAATCGGAAGAGAGTAAATTTTTTTGCATTTTGCGGGTTGCATTTAATGGATTCCAAACTGGTCTTCTTGAAATACTGAGGATGCTATCAAGCCTATCGTTATAAAGCACATTTGAAATTTTAATCTTGTCATAAATATTTTTTATACCATCTTCAAGTAGTGAACCCCCTGCGAAAAATAACAGCGCAAGCAACAATCTGCCGTGTCTGCATTCCTTGCAATAAATGAAAGTGACAAGCACTTATTGGTGGCTTGATGATACACTTGGCTAGCCTTCTTTATACTCTCTCTTCTGTATCTGAGTTTGTTTTTCTAAGGAGGAAGTTTTAGGATGAAGAAGATACGTTCTGGAGTAGGACTAAAAATGTGCTTAGACCCGTTAACCTCTCTCATCGTAAGGCAGGTAGAAAGCTTTGCAGTTTCCACTAGCCGAGCTAATGTATATCCCGCTTTAGTCACGCTATTTATTTGGTCTTTTGCTGTGTGATTTATAATCTTTTTTAAGCTCTCAGTTTGGAGGCCTCTTACAAATCATCGACAGTCCAGAAATCAGTAATAAGACACCAGAAGACCTGTAGCTCAGAGTGATAAGTGCCAAGCTCTCCCCCTTATTAGTCATTAATTGCTGCGTGAGCAATCTACTGCCTGATTATTCACCTTACGCCTCATGAAGCATCAAGCAGTAGTTCATTCGATTTCATAACACAAGCACTTGATGAACGCCCCGTTTTTGTTTTTCTCTCCCCCCTCCCCCCCCTTTTTCAGCCGTCTTCTAACGACACATGTGTTGTGAAGTACAGTTTGAAAACCTCCGAAATGGGAGTTACCTCCGTCCCCACTACGGTGGCTCAACTACCGATTTCGGTCAATGCCCCAACTACAGCCTATCTCCTTCCCTCGGGTGAACTTGTCTTCACCGTGGATACTCAATATGCTCAAGGCGATCAGTACTATCATGTGGTGGAAGCGGATGAGAGTGGTGACCAGGTGAGTCTATAATCTGTCGTGATACAGGTTTTTAGGGATTCTAACCGCTAGTTGGAAGAATGGCCAGCGCACTGTGTCACTAGCTGTAAGGTCTAGGTGGGTTAGGACCCCTCATCCCAGATCTGGGAAATTGTCATTGCAAATCGGCATACTGAAGTTGCTACTAACACTGTTGGCGCTCTTAACCAGGTACAATCACATTTTTATGGGTATTGGCCGGGGGGGGGGGGAATTACATAGTTCGTTTTGTTGCAAAGAATGCTTGTAAATGCTACTTGGATTAGTTATGAGGGTAGGAATTTCAAGTCTGTCTTTTAGTAGAGGAGCATGTTATTCCGCTTTTTTGTTTTCTCATTGTTCTTCGAGATTTTGAAAATGTATTAAATTTGTTAACACTGAATATACTCTTGTTTTCAAATCATATGTGCGGCTTCTATGAATATCAAATCGGTAGAGTGAGGGGAGGGATTTGCCTTACATAAGAAATATTTTCAGTGTATTTGAACAAACCCTACTTTCTACACCTCCTTCTTCTGAGCCAGTTTCGCTGCCACTATTGGTTAATCAGGCAGCCAATAACAATCTCATCCACTTCTATCAAATAGAAAGGTGTAGGGATTTGGAGTGGTGAAAGAGAGGGCACATCAGTATTGAGTTTTTGTAAAAAGGCTTAACTGTGAGGCAAGGTTGACGATTTCGCATCTGCTCTTTGTTTGATGAGCAAATTGTCAGCAAGAAAGCATTGAGGTTTGAGCCATTGTGTACATATAATGCATTCTGTAATGTATTCTCATTTAGCGGCAATCACTTTGTACGGAGGCTGAGACAGCAGGTACTTCGTCGACAGCGACTGGACTTGGTGACGTTGAGGAATGGAGAACATCCCAATCGGCCCATGAGGCTGTGGTCGGCTATGCTATGCCAACCGATGCTCCAAACACAATCCATCAAACACACTGTCTTCCTGTGGATCTATGTACTTCAGCACTCTGTTTGACTGTCACGGATCCCTCTGCTAATTCCGTAAGTATTAACAGCAAATCATTATTTCAGTCAAATTTATTGAATGCAGTAATGAAAGGTCAGTTAAATCCTGGAGGAAATTTGTGTCGTAGAAACTCAGGCAAAATCAGCTTAACCCTCTTAGGACCGTACAATCCTCTTTCAAGATAGGCACCATTGGTACTAGATTCGTAACAGAAGGTGCTATTGCCGTTTGAAACATGTCCAATGCATCTATAACCTTCGCCTGATGCACCATCAAAACTCATCACTTCGGCGACATCAGTCTGCTGATAAAATAAAATAAAAATAATTCGGGCGTTAAAGGATTAAGTTCGAGGCAATATCCTAGAGCAGACCAAAATCCAAGCGCGTTTGCGTGTCTATTGACTCATTTACTTTATCAGAATAGTTGTTTAAAGTCTTATATGTGATATGAAGTGGAAGGTAAAATGTGTAACCTGTCAAAGGTACGAGAGATCAGTAGAAGTTAAGGTGTCGAAAGTGATCAGTACCTAGGTCCTCCTCTAAACGTGACTGGAAGTATTCCATTGTGGCTAAAAATCGATGATATTAAAGGGGTTTTCAAGAAAACATATCTAACTCGAGTGGAATCAGGTAATCTTTTATTTTGTCTGTGTTCTTGTGTCTTACTTCCTGATCTTCCATCTTGAAATATTCGAGGGGGTGGGGGAGGGGGGTTTGAATGTCAGTGAATCCCTTCAGTGCAGGCATTATTTCGCTATTGTTGTTAGTATTATCACAATTATTCATAGAAATATGCTAAATTTTCTCCAATCTTTAACCATGAAACAGAAAGTCAAACAACTTAATGAATGAGGAGGAGACCAGAAAGTTTTCCACAAAATTTCCTGAATGTCTATCTTGCATTCCAAAGTTTGAATTTCATGGTTCGTCCCTTGGTGCTTGAAGCAAATGCATGTGCGCTATGTTCAATGCACATTGACTTGTGTCATTTAATCAAGGAGGTTTGGACTTTCTTCGTCAATTCCATTTTTTTTCAATGCTTGTGAAGGCGGATGTTCCTATATGATACTCCTCAGTTTGAAGCTCTAATACTTATATTAAATGGCAGGCTTTATGATATTTATCATTGGCCCTTGGTTGACTTTAGGCTACACAGAGGGGAGGAACATATATAGGCTTTCGGGTGGTTAACAGTGACTCATTAGTTGAATTCTGGCTTTACCCAGTATCTCTGTGTTTCTGTCGTTGTCTGTAGGGTTTGACATTGTATCAGGTGAGTCTACTCCACTTCCTCCTGTAGGTCACATAAGGGACATGTTGGTTGAGCGTATACTCCTATTCTGTGATGGTGCTTCGCCAGGCAATCGTGTCCGGTACGTAGTCCAAACTCTGCAACAACGTCGATTCGTAGCCAGTCGGCTATATTGGAGAGTGCGCTGTCCACTGTTTCTCCTTTGTTCGAGCCTTAAGTTCGTTGCTTCTTGATGTCTTTGATTCTCTTCTGACTTAGGTGTTCATTGTGTGGAAAGACATTGGCTGGTCTATGCCTTACAAAATTGTGATCCTGTGTTACAGATTTTGCAGTCCTAGCATGGCAGAGCTTATACAATTTTTTTCAATCGACAGAGCTCAATAATCTCCGTTCAAATGCACATTTGGCTGATGGATAATTAATTTACTCCAAAATGCTTCCTTTTTAGTTTCCCACTCACCCCAAAAGGCGACCCAAAGCACTTGATTTGAGTAGAGTGAAGGTGACTTGGAATCACTCTTAGCAGGAACTCACTCTACTACCCTCATGCTAACCACCATTGACTAGGGTTACCCACACTAATGAATGTGCACCGATGACTATCGATTTTTAGTGACCTTTGATTTGGCAGATATGAATATTGATCACTGGGCTCTCGTTTATTACCTAAGGTTACTGCAAAGTTTATTTATGTCAAATGGCAGGCGTCTTGATGGTTATCATTAGCCCTTTAGTTGACTTCAGGCTTCACAGAGGGGAAGGAACATCAAATTGAAAAAGGTCTAGAAGGGGGGGGGGGAACAGAAGAATGTTTCGAAGATGTAAGAGACAAACACAAAGGTAGAACAAAGGTGAGGTGAATGCTGTGGAAATAGTCGAAAATGGCATAGAGTGAGGTGATGGTAGTTTGAAGTGAGAAGTCAACTGCCAGTTAACAGACTTTTTTGCACCACGTGGAGGTAAGTCTATCGCACACCCCGGTTACTGCAAAGTCGAGGTCAAGAGAATGATCAGTGATTCGCAGGTGAAGATTTTGCTCAAGTTATCTAATGATAAAAAGAAGTCGGAAATTATTCATTGTTTGATCAGGTAAGGAATGTGTTTACAAGTACAACCATGCGTTTAAATGTGAACTCTCACGCGTTATATCGCATGACACTTTGAGCCATTCCATCTTATCTTTTTTATTCTGAAATAGTCAATTCCCGCGTACTTTCTAGGCTCTTTTTTTCGCCTTCTTGTTGATAAACACGTCGTGCACTAACTTGTTCTTAATTGCTATAGACCTCACAACAGCCGAATGTGATCACCGTTGACCCCACCACTTACCAGACTATCCCGAGCGGCGTCGGTGATGAAAGTGCTCTCGACTTGACCGAGCTCCCTCATGAGGTTATTGATCTTTCTTCCCAAGGGAACCCTGTAGATCTCAGTGGTACACATCCACACCAACCTAGATCCGAGTTATGGGAATCCGAGTCCCTATTCAGCTACACACATTTCCTCAACGTAGATGATGGCTTATGAAGTTTCATTTTAGGTATTTTTGAAAATCTTCCTTCCATATTCTTAGCCAATTTTGTACTTATTTTTAATATCTAAATAAAAAAATGGTGTTTTTACTGTGTACTTTTATTTCACCTTACACGAGTTGAGCATCGACAAAGGCTATTTTTTTAAAGTGTGTCTCAATATTCATGCAGAGCTTTATTTATATCAAATTTGGCAACGTATACTCATACGGCAAAAAAGTCTATAAACAGGCAGTTGACTTCTGACTTCAAACTGCCATGACCCCAGTGTATATCATATTTGACTACTTCCACAGTACTCCCTCACCTTTTTCTCTACCTTTGTGGCTGTCTCTTTTACATCTTTGAAACATTCTTTTGTTCCCCTCCCTCGACATTTTGTGACTTGGATGCTCCTCCTCGAAGTGAACTAAAGGGCTAATGATAACTATCACGAAGCCTGCCATTTGATATAAATAATAAATTTATATTAAATTTGGCAGATTTTGTGATAGTTATCATTAGCC